CTGGCCCCGCGGCGGGGGAGCAGCCGCAGACCCAGCAGCAGCAGCTGCAGGGCTCCAGACAGGTCTGTCCCGAGCGGCTGGCCGAAGGGAGGCCCCAGCAAGGGCTCTTTTCCAGATTCTTGACCCATAACCAGAAGTGCCAGTTTATGCTCCTGAAGACGCTGGAGACAAGTAGGAACCCTGACCTGGTGCCTAGGGTCGGCGGGGTGGTGTCTGAGACCCAGTTAGGGAGGAAGGGCCTGGGTTCCGTTCAGCCCGGGGTTCTGGTTCAGTTTAGGTGCTGCATGGGCGGGGTTCTGGGCGTCCTGAGGGTGGAGGTGGGGGCCTGGGTCTCAATTTCCCCATTGAAGGAGGCGCTGTGGCCTCCTTTAGCACTACTTTTTCTTGGTGGGATTAATAAGGGTCGGATTAGGAGTTTGCCCTTGTGGGCCATACTGATGGATTTCTTGTGTAATTTGTTAAGCAGCACGGAGACGTGAGGGTCCGAGTGAGGCAGTTTTTAGGAGTCCTTTTAATTCAGGCATAGCTGATTCTGGCAGTGCAAAAACAATTTTATAAAGCCGCTCTTCCATAGAAGGAATTCTTAATCTTGGTGCATGGGTGGACTACTGTGTGTAGAAGCCACCCCAAAACCTTGCGCATATGCACCTAGCTGTATTTTTCTGGAGAGAGAGTTCATAGCTTAACAATTAAGAACTATTGCAGTGGGTTAAATACGATCCAACTACCCAACCCAGGGACATTGTACTAGAGATTTCTTAACTCTTTGCATTGACATAGACCTCTTAAGTCTACTTCAGACACATTTAGGAAATTAAAGTTTTAAATGTACTTGTTTTAAAGCAAAGATGCTGGCTCAGTAGCTGACCAGTGGTGCTTCCAAATCAACTACACAAAAATTTTCCAACCTTCTTGGGATTGCTTGCCCAAGGGAAAATCATTGCACATGGGAGGAAGAAGGAGGAGAGGAAATGATTAAGTGTATGCTTTGCAAATGTGCATTGAACGCCTCCTAGGTTGTAGTGGAACAAGATACAAAGCCGAGTAAGGACACTGCCTTTAAGGGGTTTCAAAGTGGATTACAGTGTAAAGAACATGGGCAGCAGAAGGAGAGCTGGATGCACATTCTGATTCCTCTCCTTAGTCGGTACGGAAGAGCAACTTGACTTCTCTGATCTTGTCTATACTTATCTATAAAAGAAAGGGTCGGGGGAGAAGAATAAGAATACCTCTTTTAGGGTTGTGAGGAATAGATTTGGTGACATGAAAGTGCCAGTATATCAGGAGCTGAGTGAAGGTAGCTGATCATACAGTGGAAGAAGCAGATGAAAGAGGAGGACAAGTTGAGGCAGAATGTGAGGAGGGTGGTGTGAACTTGATCTCAGGAGGAATCATTCAGACCGAGGCTTCAAGGGGGAAGCTTGAATGATAATGCACTTAATACAGTTCCTACCACCTATTGTGTATGTACTCAGTGATATTATTAGGAATATTTTGTTAACACTTTTAAGAGTTTAGTAAAATAGTAACCTATATCTAACTTCTTTTAGGTTTTTTTTTTTTTTGCTTTCAACGTTTTAAATAATCTTTGTTTCTTTTTTTTTTTGGTTCTGTCCTATGCATTTATACTCTCAGACAAGATGGCTGTGGGCAAAGTGAGGCCCCTGGGCTCTCTGTACTTGGCTATAGCAATCACAGGCTCACCAGATTTTAGGAGTGGATGGGCCCTCGGGGAGCATCCGGACCTTCCCACCGCATACAGAAAAAACCTTTGTGCCATATGTCTTTAGACTTCTCCTGGAACAGGTTATCTGTTCCTGGAGGCTCCCTGAATTTATTCTGTTTTGACAGCTTTAATTGTTGGAAGGATCCTTTGCAGTCTACCGCATGTAATTTCTGCTCTTTTGTCTTTTTTGCCCTTGGAAGCAATATTGAGTGACTCTATCCTTACATGGCACCCTTTTAATACCTGAAGCTACTGTGGTCCTAGTTGTCTTCTCTTTTTGATACTCCCAAATTCATTCTTGCTTCTTACTGAGCATTATCTCACACTATGCTACTTGCCTTACCCCATTGAAGAACTTCAGTTGCAGGCTCCTTCTGCAGTTTGGTAAGCAGAATGAGACGCAGTGCGATATCAGTGTGATCTGACCAGTACAGAGAACAGTGTAGTCACTGCCTTACTCATATCTGGATACTATGCCTTTTAAAAAAATTTTTGTCATGAAATGTGCCCAAGATTCCTCCAGTCTTTAGGTACACACTATAATACAAGATGTTTGGTCATTTAACTATAAATGATCTTTGATTCTGTCCAAGATGCTTGGTGATAACATCTTGGTATTCATATTAGTGTTCTATTTCTTTGAAGACTTGCTTTGATTTTTTTTATTTATTATTTTTAATTTTTGGTACTGGAGATCGAACTGGAGTCCTTGCGCTTGCAAGGCAGCGGGTGGAACTACTGAGCTAAACCCCCAGCCTGTGATATTAATTTAAATATGTGTTATATCCATTGTTTTCAATTTTAAGATAGTATTACTTGTGATTTGTAAGTTACTTTTTGATAATATTTTAGACTGCTTTTTGAATTATTTAATTGGTGCTAATTTTCCAACTAGCATACTTAATTGAATCAATGTCTTTTTTAGATCCGTATGTCAAACTTCTACTTGATGCTATGAAGTACTCAGGTTGGTAAGTAAAGCTTCTAAATGCTTTTCTATAATTCTGGCTGCCAAAACCAAAAAATTAAAGTATCAATGCTACTTAAGAGTTTAGGCCATCAAGCCTTTCCATGGGATAGATAATGATTCTCTTTAGTCAGGCCTTATTCTTTTCTGCTAGTTTTTGTCCTAATAAAGTTTATATTCAACTTGGGTATTAGTAAAGCTAGTACTCAAACTCTTTTGTATAAATACCAAACCTAGCCTTTCGGCATTGTCCATAATGGAGAAGAAATCTCAGTGTGGTATGTAGCAGTCTACCAGATGTTAACTTTGAGGGTATTAGAGGAAATAACTTCTGAGGTGCACCTTTTAACATTCTGGCTTAAGAACAGGAACTCTAGTATGTTTACAGTATAGTTTTAATCAGTTGACCAAAGGGTTTGTATAATTATATCATACATAGAATTTGAACTAGGGTGAATTTTGCAGACAGTCTCCATATTTTGCATATGAGAAAACTGAGTCCTGAAGTGTTAAGTTGCTTTCCCAGGGTTTCATATGTGTTGGTGGTGGATGGGATCTACTCTAAGATGGAAGGTCTCCTGACTTTTGGCCCACAGCTTTCCCTATATACACAGTCCTTTTGGACATTATCCCTTTAATCTGTTCTTACCTTTTAGTGCTGTTAACAAAGAAAGACACTTTTCTTGTGAAGATTGTAATGGAAATGTCAGTGGAGGTTTTGATGCTTCATCATCTCAGGTAGGCTTTTTTGCTAATTGTCTTCTTCCTTTTCACCCTTCTGATACTTGCTGAGCACCTTCCACATGTTGGGCATTCAGTTTGGTAGATTTTGTATATGACTCAGAAATAGTGAATTAATTTTGATCCTTATACTTAAGGACTTATACAGGAGATAAGACATGAACACAGTCCTAAACTTTGAGAAAGGTTAAACTATTTCAGATGGGGTTGGTGTGTTAGTCATTTTTTTGTTGCTGTAACAAGGATATGAGGTAATCAACTTATAATGAGGAAAGGTTTATTTTGGATCATGGTTTCAGTCCACTAGTAATCACTTGGTCTCACTGCCTTTGTGGTCTGTGGCGAGGCAGAACACCATGGTGGGAGTGCAAGGAAGGCACTTGCCTCATGGTGGCTGGGAAGTGAAAAAGGAGACAGGAGAGCATTGGGGCTCCTATATCCCTTCAAGAGCATGCTTCATCACTGACCTTACTTCCTATAGGTTCACTACCCCCAGTAGTGCTAGATTGGGGACCAAGGGTTCAACCTATGGGCATTTGGGGGACATTCAAAGTCCAAACTGAAGCACTTGGTTACCACAGTGGGTTCGTGAGGTGGAATGAGATAGTATTTGGTTGAAAGATACCTACAGATTCATCTAGAGGATATGAAGCCTCCTTAGGGGCAGAGAAGACAAAGGCTGTAGCCCAAGCAGCAGTAACATGAGCAGAAGTGGCATGCTGGGTAACGAGAAGGCATGTTAGGGAATTGGCATATTGTCTAGTTTAACTGGAGGATGGGAATACATGGAAGGTAAGGGGAAAAGGATTGGAAAGAAAGGTGAGCCAGAGGATGAAAAGCTTTGAATGCTAAGTGAAAGGATTAAACCTTTACATGGTAAGAAGTGATATCACCTATGGAACTTTTTGATAAAGGGGAGTGAGTTTTCTCATCTGTAAAATATGAATAACGATGGAATCTAATAGAATGATTATGAGAATTAAATGAGAAGTCTCTTGTAAAGTTACTTATCAGGGTAGTTGACCCATAATGAACATTTGATAAATTTTATTATTAATTTTCAGTCCTTGGAAGGTTTTGACAGGGTTTTAGAAGTGACAGATGGATTATGTCACATGATGATGGTAGATGAAAGTAAATATTCCCAATTTAAATATACAATTCACATTTACTACATTTAGCTATTTCCTTCTGGGGAATTTCATATAAATTTTTATTATTTATAACTTTTCAGTAATCATGGGAAAAATCAGTATAGCACAGGGTGAGAAGTCTGGGTTTTGGAGTTAGATAGACTTGCATTCAAATCCTAAGTCCTCTGCTAATTTGCTGTGGGGCTTGGGCAAGTTACTTTTCTTATTCTTAGTTTCTTCACATGTAAATTGATAATCATAATATTGATGATCTCAGAATAACTCTTGGTAAGTTTACCTGCTGTCTTGCTCCCAGGGTTAAATAGAGTGAACATTTTAAAGTTTCCTTCTGACTATGGGGAGTGGAATAATTGCACATTCTTGGCTTTTATTTATTTATTTATTTTGGTACCAGTGATTGAACTCAGGTCCTTGCGCTTTGGAGGCAGGCGGCGGCACCACGGAGCTAAAACCCTGGCTTTTGGCTTTTATTTTGTTGGGTTTTTTTTTTTTGGTGTTGTTTGTTTGTTTGTTTTGGTACAGGGATTGAATTTGTGCCCTTGCCCTTGCGAGGCAGGTGGTGGAACCACTGAGCTAAATTCCTGGTGTTAACTTTTTTTTGAATTAAAATTTTTATTATGAAATCTCTTATTTCTTTAGAAGAGTAAAAATCCTATATGTACTCTGAGTAATAAAGGAAACACTGGTATAACTGCCACCTAGATATGAGAAGTAGAACATTACCAGGGCTTCAGAAACTTGTGTACTCCTCTTGAATTACGTTTCTCTCCTTCCTTATTCTAACTTCTGTGGAAAGTGTTTGTTGCTTTTCTGAGTGGTTTACCATCCATGTTTATGGACCAGTGATGCATTATTTAGGTGCTTGTTGTTATGCTTTGTACATGGAATATTTTGAGTTATATGTAATAATTTATAGTTTTATGAAATCACATAAGTGACACTTCCTCATAAATTCTTTTTTTCAACATTATTTGTATAATTCTTCCATGTTGTTGTGTATACCTCTTGGTTAGTTTCTCTGTTGTGTAGTATTCCAGTGTGTGTTTATATTATAGTTTATCCTATATAATATTTAGTTTCTAACTTTGTTACTATGAATACTGTTGCTTTGAATGTTCTTGACCTGCTCTCCTGGTGCCTGCTTTCAAGAGTTTCCTCAAGCTTCAGAGCAGAATTGCTGTGTCATAGAGTGTGAACATGTGTTTGCTGGTAATGCCAAACACTTTCTTCCCATAGATTCCAGTACACAACACTTTTCTGGTTGCTAGCTTACCTTCCTTTTCCAGCCCTAAAATGTTGAAGTTTCTTAATCTTTGGTATTAGATCCCCCTTTTTCTTATTTTACACTCTGCCAAGGGAACCTCATTAATTTTTCTAGGTTAGAACTTTTTGCACTCCACATCCACATATCCAAGTGCCCATTTAATGCCTCTACTTGGTCTTAAAGGTACCCCGGGCCTGACATTGTCCAAGTCCAGATTCATGATTTTTTTACCCTACCCCCAATCCCCAGCTAACCTGGTCTTTAGTTTTGCATATTTCAGTAGATGTGTCTACCCTCCTGCCTGTTACTCAAGCCAGAAATGTACGGGTGCTTTGGATTCCTTCCTCAGCTTCTATCCATCACCACATTTGTCCAGTTTACCTCCTGAATTCCTCTTTCAACTCCCACCATCCTAGGTCAAGTACCTTACCTTCTGTCTCTTTCCTGGAATGATTCCTTAGCCTTCAACTAGTTTCTCTGCATCCAGTTTTGGTCTTCTGTTTCTTCCAACTGCAGTTGAAAGAATAAAAACAACACAGAACAAAAGCACTCCCCTGCCTCATCCCTGTCTTTTAGTACCTTCCCTTTGCTGTCAGGATGAAGACAGGGCCTGGGGTGATTTGGCCCCTGCTGACCTTGTCAGTCCTAGCTCAAGTCTACCACCCCTCAGCATTTGGTCCTCCTTTCAGACTCTTAAACATTCTATTCTTTGGACTCTCTCCCTTCCCTTTACATATGTGTGGATTAGCCATTTGCCATTGCTGGGGCAAAATGCCTGACACGTGCAACTTAAAGGATAAGGGGTTTATTTTGGCTCATGGTTTCAGTCTATAGTCAGTTGGCTCCAGGATAGAAACAGGATGGTAAAGGGGTGTGACAGAGGGAAAGGTACTCAACCCATGACAGCCAGGAAGAGGACAGCGAAGGGAGGAGCCATGGATGAACACACCTTTCCAAGTCATGTCCCCAGTGATCATTCTTACCAGGCCCCACTCTGAATGTAAGGCTTGAGATCTAAATCATAACGTTATTGTTCTCTCTGTCTTGGACACTCCCTTTCTCTCCTCTTCACACATTCAGCTGTTGGAGCTCAGTATAAAATTCCTACCAGAGAGGAGACTTTCCCTGCCCTTCAGACCAGGTCAGGAATTCCCACTGTATGTGCTTAGGACAACTTGCGATTTTTTTCATTGCTATTGTCATTGCATGCATTTAAGCATTTTGGTGAACATTAGATTAATTTCTGTCTCCATTAGATTATAAATCTACTATTAGTTCTTAATAAGTATTAGTTGAATAAATTAATGTTGACTAAATGAATATAAAATATCTAGCACATATCCCAGTGTCTGGCACCTAGTAAGTGCACAGTAAATGGCAGCTGTCTGTGTTAGGATCCCTCATGTCTTTCTTTTCTTTTTTTTGGTACCTGGGATGGAACGCAGGTCCTTGGGTTTGTGAAGCAGGTAGCCATGGCAACACTGAGCTAAATCCCAAGCCGCCTCGTATCTTTCTTATTATAGGGTCCTGCTCAGTGTGCTGTTGGCTTTTTGCATTTCTCAGGATTTTTTCCTGGTTTGTTTCCCCCTCAATCTAGTAGAATGAGGATAATAATGGACATTCATTGCTTTCTCAGAGACTTGCTGAGAAGTATTTTACATATAGATAATCTCATTTAATTCTCACAATTCTGAGGTAGATACTCTTAATTATTTCCTTTTATTGTTGAGGAAATTGAACACAAAGCAGCTAAAAAAGCTACCTGACTTTACCAAGTGTTTTAGTCACTTCCCTTGCTGCTAGGACAAAATACTGCACATCCACAATTTAAAGGAGAAGTTTATTTTGGCTCATAGTTTGTGGAGATTTCAGTCCATAGTCTGGCTGACTCCAAGGCAGGGTGGTATGGCTCAGAGAGCAAAGCGAAGAGACAGGGAGGGAGGGAACCCATTCCAGGCCATGCCCCCAGTGACCAGACCCCATCTCACAACAGCAAGTCAGCTATAAGCCCCATAATCTAGTTACCTTCCAAAAGTCCACCTTTGAGCACATGAGGCTTAGGAGGACATCTGGATATGAATCATGACACCCAGTTAGCGAGGGCTGGAGCTGGAATTTCATTCTCTCTACTTCATTTCAAAGCCTACTCCTGTAACTTTAATGATGTATAGTCCAAAACAGACTGGTGCAGTCAGCTTTGTGAGGATTGTATGTGAATAAATGTCTTTAACCTTGTGCCATTGTGGCCTAGAGGGAGGAGAAGGGAAAAGGTAGTCATTGGGAAGGCTAACAGAGCATGTGCAATTTGCAGTTAGCACTTGGATGTAACCAGTAGGTAGGGGTGGGGTTGATGGAGAAGGGTGGCCGAAGGTGTCCCAAGCAGCTGAACCTGTGGGAGGGAAGGTGGAATCCAAAATGAAAGCAGGCTTTAGAGATAACCAAACTTTTCCTAACTTGGTGTCTCCTAGATTGTTTTGTGCCAGAATAATATCCGTAATCAGGCCCATATGAACCGAGTGGTCACCCATGAGCTCATTCATGCATTTGATCACTGTCGTGCTCATGTCAACTGGTTCACCAATGTCAGACATTTGGCGTGTTCAGAGGTGAGTTTTATTGTAGAAGACACTTATTTTTCCCAGAATACTCTTATGTATTCAAGTTTATTTAAATGTTTTCCTTTTATTGTTATCATTTCATCTTAGTCTTGAATTTCTGTTTTGAACTACTACTGAATATAATTTTTGAGGTACAAGTAGAGAAATTTTAAGTATATTATTGACTGATGGATGGATGGATAGATGGTTTGGTTTTTTGAGAAAGGGTCTCATTTTGTAGTGCAGGCTGGGCTTGAACTTGCGATCCTCTTCCCTCAGTCTCAGAGTACTGGGATTACAGGCATGTGCCACCGTGCCCAACATTAAGTATATTTCTAGAATTATCTTAAATATAACCTTTAAGGTCTAATAATGTTTAAGACTAACTTTAATTGTAATAATAAGCTTTTTCCTATGGAATAAGTTATAGGACATTCAAAGTATAATAGTTAACATTTGCTGAGGGCTATGTGCCAAACATTCCCTCTGTGTGGTTTCTTATTTAAGTTTCACAACAACCTATTGAGGAAGATACTGTTATTATCGAAAGAAAACGAGCTGAAACAGGAGCACCTGAGGCAAGGCTTTATTGGGAAGGAGCTGCGGGGCTATCTGGAACAGTGATTAGTGAAGGGGGGGCTACACTAACTGGGGTGGGGTTTATATAGTTCAGTGCAGTGGGGAAAGTGGACCCGGGGTGATGGGAGGGGAGGAACACTTGGGTAGCAGGGTGGAGCAACAAGTGAGGTTTTGTTTCTCCGGAGGGGGTAGGTTTCACACCCCCCCCACACCACACACACACACACACACACACACACACACACACCCACCCCCACCCCCCTCTGCTTATTTCCTTAAGCAGGCACCATTTTAGGAATGGGGACCGTTTTAGGAATGGTGACCATTTTAGAATGTAGGACCATTGGGCCCATTTTGTCTGGTAGAGAACTCTGTCAATTCAATTGTCCTTGTTATGTATAGGTGGAGAGTGAAGCCCTGCTTTGGATTCCATAGTCAGTAAATGGCAAAGGCAAGGTCTCAACCAGGATTCTTTTTTTTTTGGTATCAGGGATAAAACTGGGGACCTGGAGCTTGCCAGACAGGCGGCAGAACCACTGAGCTAAATCCCTGGTTACAACCGGTATTCTTACCAGGGCTGAAATCTCTTCAGCTTTGGTGTGAGACCCCCCCGCCCTTCCTTCCTTCCTTCCTTCCTTCCTTCCTTCCTTCCTTCCTTCCTTCCGTCCTTCCTTCCTACCTACCGGGAACTGGATTTAGGACCTTACACTTGTCTGGCAGGCACTGTTCTGATGAGCTAAATTCCAGACCATAGATCCCTTTCTTTTCTTCTTCTTTTTTTTAAAATAAATTTTATTTTGTCCCATTCCCCTCCTTCAACCCCCTTCCCCTCCCTTCGTACAAAAGCTTTGTTTCCATTTTTCCTTCTGTTGTCACTTTTTTTTTTCTTGTCCCTTCCTTCCTCCCTCCTTCCTCTCTTGTTTCCCTTTTCATTTGAACATTTTCCAGTATCTATTATACATCTCAGTCCTTATTTCCACTTTAGGTTTCTCACACCAGAGAAACAATGCAGTATTTAAACATGTGTGTCCAATTTATTTCACAGAGGAGTGTGGTCTCAAGGGGCATCCATTTAGCTGTAAATGTCTGAAGCTCATCCTTCTTTATGGCAGAGTAGTACTCCCTTATATATAAAAACCACATCTTCTTTATAACTCATCAGCTGATGGGCCTTTGGGCTATTTCCAAGATTTAGGTATGACACACTGTGTTGCTATAAACATGGTATGCATTTATCACTGTGGTATGATGCTTTTAATTCTTTCAGGAAGATACCAAGAAAAGTTATAGCTGGGTCATATGGAACCTCTAGTTTTAGTTTTTTGAGAAATCTCCACATTGATTTCCACAGTGGTTGCACCACCAGTGGAAAAGTGTTCCTTTTTCCCCACTACTCCTCCAGTCTTTGTTATTGGTTGATTTCTTAATAGCAGCCATTCTTTCTGGAGGTGGAATCTTAGTGTTGTTTTGCAGAGTTTTTTTGTTTTTTGTTTTTTTTGTACTGAGGATCAAACTCAGTACCTTGCACTTTTGAGGCAGGCGGTGGCACCATTGAGCTAATTCCCTAGCTCAGTGTTGTTTTAATTCGCATTTCACGAATGATCAGTGATGTTGAATTTTTAAAATATATTTATTTACTATTTCTAATTATTCATCTGAGACGTATCTTTTCATTTCAGATGCCTGGTTTTGGACTGGGTCTTTAAATTTGGGGGGGTCTGATTTTTTTTACTTCTTTATATATTCTAGATAATAGTCCTTTATATGAATAGCTGGTAAAAATTTTTTTCCACACTGTACCGTGTCTCTTTACTCTGTTGGTGATTTCTCTTGCTATGGAAAAGCTTTTTAATAAGATGAGATCCCAGTTGTTGATTCTTTGTAGTATTTCCCACACAGTCTTGGTTTTCATAAAATCTTTGCCGAATTCTATATCCTCTAGTGTTCTACCTATTCTTTCTTCCATCAGATTTAGTTTCTGTTTTAATGATTAGATCTTTTGATCCATTTTCATTTCAGGTTAGTGTGTTGTGAAAGATATGGGTCTAGTTTTAATCTTTGGCTGTGGAAAGCTGGTTTTTCCAGCACCAGTTATTAAAGAGGCCATCTTTCTTCTAGTGAAGGTGTTTGGCTCCTTTGTCAAAGACAAGGTGGTTGAGTATGTCTGGAGTTGTATTTGCATCTTCTAGTCTGTTCCATTGATCCTCAGGTCTGTTCTTTTGCCAGTACCATTTTTTAAAAAAAATCACTAACTTTGTAGTATAATTTAAAGCCAGGGATTGTGATTCCCTCTGCCTTGCCTTTGTTGTCCAGAATTCCCTTTGCTATTCTAGGTCTCTTCTGGTTCTGAGTGAATTTTAGGATTCTTTTTTCTTTTTTTTAGGATTGTTTTTTCTTTTTTTCTTTTTTGTGGTAATGGAGATTGAGCTTGGGACCTTGCTCTTGCAAGGCAAGCGGCAGCACCACTAAGCTAAATCCCCAGCTTCAGGATTGTTTTTCTAATTCTGTGAGATATGCTGTTGGTATTGCATTGAATCTGTATAATAATTTTAGAAGTATGGACATTGAGAAAATGATTGTTGATAGGGAGGACAAAGGAGACATGATGTGGGGTCTTCTCACTATAAAACACAGTAATATTGCTCATATTCCAAGGATACAGTGGAAACATCTGTGGTAGTTTTAAAACATGTCAACAAATTCTTTGCTATTCCTCTTTCAAGAGATGGAGTCTTTGGTTGCTGGCTATAAAGGACTTTTAATTTGGACATTTTTTGTGGTGTGTTCCTTTTCACTGAAATTGCTATAACATTCTCGGAGGCCCCAGCGAGATGTCTCTGCCACTGTGAGTCGACCTCTTCCCTCCACGTCTCCCCGTGCAGGTGGCAGGGTGTAGGGGAGGCACCTCCTGAGATATTCCAGGGCCCTGTATCCTGGACGCCGGCCGGAGGGACGTGGAAGGACTGCGGATCATGACAAAATTTCAGAGTCCTCAAGAATCCTCCACTTGGAGGTAAGTGTCTCTTCTTGTCTGTTTGTGGTTTCTGGTTTTGGGACAAGGACCACCCTGTTGGAGGGCCCTTCTCTACTGTCCCAAGTAAAGGTTGGGACGCTGACTGGAGAAGTCCCTGGGTGATCGAGGACTGGAGATGAGAGGTTGGTAGGAGACCCTCAGTGGCCAGTAGTGGTGATTGCAGGCAGCCAAGTGGTGGCTGAAGGTTTTGTTTCATGTCTGGTTGTGTCTTTTGTCTGGGACCTGGATTCTTTTTGATGCTTCGTGAGAGAAAACTCATGATGTCCACAAGTGGTGCTGCCTGTGGTAGGCAGGTGGGCCTCTTCACTCCAAGGTGACATTCTCACGGTGGGCTGACAAGAAGCAGAGTCACCCCTTATTTTCTTAGTGTGCATTCTGTAACTTATTTCTATTGAACTTTCTGTTGATTATCAGGAGTATTGAACATTGTTGGACATTCTTGTCTTTTATTTTAAATTAAAAATTTTATTTTTTATTAAATTATAGTTTATCATTATTAGTTTGTTGTGTTGCCTTCTGTAGGTAAGTCTCTGCTTGCCTTGGAGTAAAAAGGTTTAGTTTCAAAAATATGACATAAAAAGGGTATTTACTGTTATGCACTTTGGATTGCTTTCAGAAGTATGTGTATATATATATATATATATACTTCTAGAAAGGCGTATGTATTTCATACTTTTGTTTTATTAGTTGAATGCATTATGATGACAAACTTAAATAGTAATATAACTCTCAAGCTTATACGTTATAGTTCAGATTATTTTCTCTTTCCCTTGATTAACAAGTGACCCCACCTAATTATAATTTCTATTCTTTGGAAAGTCGACTAAAACTTGAGTTTTTAAATAGGTCTGTCTCTTGGGTGTTATGAACATTAATGCCTGTTAGCAAGTTAAAGTATGTTAAGTACTCTTAAAGCCTCAGAGCAGTGAGGCTGTGTTATTGTAGAAATAATAAGAAGTGGGTCATTCTCTTTGCAATGAACTAGCAGAAGTGTAGCCAGAGGCTGAGCAGTCTATGTAGATAGTTCCAAGACTTTATCTATTAAAATACAGTAATTTAGAAAATATGTCCTAATTTCAGTCTGTCGTGCTCATAGCATGACCAGTTTAGAATGTTATTCTTTGCATTTTGTATCACTTAATTTCTTATAGGAAAGTCAAATCCTGGAAGAGCCATGACCCAAGTTTCAGAAAAGTTTTCAGAGATTTGGGCCAGGACTGGGGATTCATTTGCTCAGAGTGTCTTAGATACTGACATGTTAATATTTTTTTCACTGCTAAGGATTGAATCCAGGGCCTTTATATTGAGATACATCTTAGCCTTTTCTAATTTTAAATTTTGAGACAGGGTCTTACTAAATTTTCCAGGCTGGGCTTAAACTTGTTATCCTCCTGCCTCAGCTTCCCAGAGTGGTAGGACTATAGGTCTGTACCACCATTCCTGGCTGATGTATTCAGTTTTGAGCTCACATCGAAGCTCAATGTGTAGATCTTTGGAAAAATGCTTTCTTGAAATCTTTTTGGTAATTTCTAGAAGTGTGTGTATCTTGTAAAGATTATGGACTTCAACTTTGAGGTCCAATCTGAGTCAAGGCTCTCTGACTCTAGACAGATTAGATTAGTTCTGTTAGTTAGGCTACTGAGTAAAGTTTAGAACATTCCCTTTGGTAGATGATTGACCTTTTCCCCATCCTCAGTGTGTTTGGCTTTTTTTTTTTTTTTTTTTGGTACTGGGGTTCAAACTCAGGATCTCGCACTTGCAAAGCAGGGGCCGGAAGAACTGAGCTAAATCCCTGGTCCATATTTGGCATTTTGTATTAGTACATGTTTTCAGTACATAGTGATTACACTTATTGTGGAGGAGTTTGTACATGTACATAACAGATCTTAATTCTTTTTTCATACCCTTCCTTTTCCAAATCTCTCTCCTCCCTCCAACTCTTGTTCCCCTTCCTATTTGAAAAAGATCTCTTTACTTCATATTATCTTTTATTTTGCACTTTATTTATATCTTGACTTTCTCATATAAGAGAAACCATGTTATATTCACTTAACATTATGGTCACAAGGTACATCCATTTACCTATGAATGCTCCAAGCTTATTTTCTTCATGCCAAAGTAGTGCTCCATTGTGTATAAATACCGCATTTTTTTTTTGTTTTGTTTTATGGGTACTGGGTATCAAACTCAGGTCCTTGCGCTTGCAAGGCAGGTGGTGTAACCTCTGAGCTAAATCCCTGGCTCCTAATACCGCATTTTCTTTATTCATTCATCTGTTGATGCACTTAGAGACCACTTCCAAGATTTAGCCATTGTGAGTTGTAGTGCTATAAACATATATGTGCATTACTGTAATATGATGCCTTTAACTCTTTCAGGAAGATAGCTAGAAGGGGAAGAGCTGGGTTGAATGGGATTTCTATTTGCAACTTTTTGAGGAATTAGCATACTGATCACTATAGTGATTGTATTAGTTTACACTCCCACCAACAATATAGAGGGTTCATTTTCCCCTGCAGACTCTTAACATTCGTTATTATTTGATTTCTTGATAATAGCCTTTCTTTCTGGAGTAGGATGGTAACTCAGTGTTGTTCTAATTTGCATTTCTCTAATAGTTAGCTATGTTGGACATTTTTTGATGTATTTATTTGCCATCTGTTCTTCTAAGAAGCATCTGTTCATCCCAGTTGCCCGTTTTTTGATTGGGTCTTTTGAGGGCTTTTTTTAGTTCTTTTTGTTCTTACATATGAGTTCTCTGAGGAATAGCTGGCAAATTTTTTTTCCCATTCTGTAGGTTGTCTCTTCATTCTTTTGGTTGTTTCTTTTGCGTGCAGAAGCTTTTAAATTTGATATAATCCCATTTGTTGATTTGTTGTATTATTTCTTATGCCACTGGGGTTCTGTCCAGAAAGTCTTTACCTACAACTGTGTCTTTAAGAGTTTTACCATTTTATCTTTCAGCAGATTAAGTATTTCTGTTTAACATTTAGATCTTTGATCTTTTTTTTCAGTTTAGTATATTGTGAGATATATGAGTCTAGACTCAGTCTTCTGCATGTGTATATCCAAATTTCCCAATAACATCATTAGAGAGGCTCTCTTTCTTCCAGTGTATGTTTTTGGCCCTTTGTCAAAGATCAGATAGCTGAATGTGTTTGTTTCTTCTTTCTCTATTCTGCTTCAGTGATATACATGTCTGTTTTTGTGCCAGTACCATGCTGTTTTTGTCACTGTAGCTTTGTAATAACTTCAGATCTGGGATTATGATATTTCCTGCTCTGTTATTGTTACCCAGAATTGCTTTTGCTATTCTAAGTCTCTTCTGGGTGCATACGAATTTTTGGATTGTTTTCTGTGAGAATTGGATTATTTTAAATTGTAGATCTGTAAGGAATGCTGTAGATATTTTCATTGGGATTGTGTTAAATCTATATATCAGTTTTGAAAGTATGGTCATTTTGGCTATATGAGTTCTTCCTATCCAAGAACATGGGATACTTTCCATTTTCTAATGTCCATTTCAATCTCCCCTTTCGGAGTGGTATAATTTTTTATTTTAGAGGTCTTTTTGGCATTGTTTAGCATAGTCCATGGATGTCTGCTTTCATTATCAATAGTATTTTAAAATTCTTTAAAAGAAAGCATTATATATACTGTGCTCTTGGAAAAACATGCTAATTTTATATTTTATATTCCTTTTCAGTTTAAAAAAAGTTGGTTGATGAAAGGATATAGTGCATGAGCATCCTTTTCTTTTGCCTCTGTCTTTGTGACAGGTTCGCGCCGCTAACCTCAGTGGAGACTGTTCACTTGTAAATGAAATGTTCAGGTTGCATTTTGGATTAAAACAGCATCATCAGGTAAAAACTAATACAAAATCACCTTTCCTCAAGAGTGTTATGAGTAGAAATAACAAATAAGAAATGAAATACATTTGGTGTTTGACATTTGAAAGAATCACCTATGTGAAAAGAATATAAAATGTGTACATTTAAGCCTAGTAGATACAATTTTGTTTTACTTTATAATTATAGGCAAGCTGTGTGAGTGACTGGGAGATTTTAGTAGTGAAGGATGTTATGATCTTGCTTCTGAGATACATTTGGATGGGTCCATGAGGATTGGAAGGGAAATCACAACCTGTCTTTTATCCTAACAGTCCTCCTCCTCTGTTTGGAAGTATACAGTATCCTAGAGACAGGAAACATATTCCTTTCAGAACAGAGACTGCCTTGCAGCACAGGTCATGGCTATAGGTCAGTGTGTCTTGAAAGGTTTTGTGACATGATAGAAAAGCCTTTGAGTGGCATAGACCTGGTGATGATGGGCTGAACTGAGAGGAATTTTCTAAACAAAATTTAATAAACAAAGAAGAAAAGTGAAAGTCAAAACTGTTCTCCCAGAAAGCCTTTAAGATCCATAGTGGATGGACCTGGGAAAGAGGTATCGTGGAGCTCAAGGGTTGATAATAAATGTGAGCAGTGCTGGCCACAGCAGCCCAGGCTCTGGTCCACACCTTGGAGGAAGGCTGGGCAGAAGTTTCCTGTGGGCAGAGCTTGCTAGGCCACTTTGTGAAGTACAGGGGCATCAGGAGAGCAGTTTTAATCGGGTGCAAAAAGGATAAGCTTGGAATAACATGCAGGCCTTTGGTTCTCCAGACAAGAGAGTAACTGGACTCTAGGGTGAAGTTGGAGAGTGACAGTGAGCTCTGGAGAGACACTGTGAACTTAGTGAATGGGGGTTGGAAGAAAAGCCTGCTGCCTGCTCAGGGTAATAGTCTCACTGATTGCTGACTTCCAGCCTGTACCAAATGGACTTAGTGATGTAGCACTGACTTGTCTTGGCCACATCTTCTCTGTCCTTGAACCTCCACTTCTCCAGTAGCTTCTGTGTACCTGGCTTGCAGTGGAGAAGATGGAAGCAGAGTACTTATCAGCACATCTCTGAAATTCATAGTAAGACAATGTGATTAAAGCATGTGGCTCCAGGCTCACAGTCTTTGAGAGAGAAGTCTTCATCTTTTTTCTGTTGAGTGGCAGCAGGCACAAATAAGTAGGACTAGCAGTACCACTGAAAATATGCAGTGGTAGTAGACTAGCTGAGGGGAGAGAGTATTGGAAAAACAGAGTCCCTGCTTCTGAACCCAAGAAATGTAAACAGCAGGCACAATAACAGGCTGTAAGACTGCACAGTTATATTTTTATTTTAACAAAAATGTTTTATATCTGGACAAAAGTAAATTTGAATTGTGGTCTACACTTTTGTCTCCTGACCATTTGGCTCCAGGAGACAGATTTTTGACTGTTTCCTGTGTGCCCTGGAAGGGAGACGGTTCTTCTCATTTTGGCACTTGCTATTATGGCTCCATATGCTTCTTCCTTTCCTTGTTTCTTTGTGCTTGGGATTGCTTTTTTCTTTTTTTGATACTGAGGATTGAACTCAGGACCTTGCACTTGCCAGGCAGGTGCGGTGCTGCTGAGCTACATCCCTGGCCCCTGGGATTGCTTTTTAAGATATATATATTTATAATTTAAGATATATGTATGTATGTATATGTATATACATATATATATATGCATATATATATACATATATATATATGCATATATATATGTATATATATATATATATACATACATATACATACAGTTTTGGTACCAGGGATTGAACTCAGGACCTAGTGCTTGTGTGGCAGGCCTAGTGCCTCCGAGCTAAATCCCCAGTCCTAAAGTTAATATTTGATGTAATGTAGGTTTATATTCCAGTGCTACTGAGTATCTCCAGTTTGAGCATACTGAGCAGGCTAAAGTAAAACTGAAAACAGAACAAATTGGTGATTATCAGGATGCACAGCCATCAAAACAAGTATTTGATTTTTTTTTTTTTACAAAGATCAAATTCCTTTCTTTTGAATTTTAGTTTTGTCCTGGGGAGAAATAAATGGATTAAAAACTCTTGAAGATTTGGAATGACAGTCTTATACTTCTCAAAATATTTAAGTTGGAGTATTAAGAAATTCTTATCTATGATTATGTAATATTAACTAAATTATTTTCATACAATTAGAAGCTTCAATTTTTTTTTCAGTACTGCGGATCGAACTCAGGACCTTGTGCTTGCTAGGCAGGCACTGCACCACTGAGCTGCATCCCTTTTCATACAATTAGAACATTAATAGCTATGCACATAACATTCAGGAAAAAAATTGTTTATTTATCTTTTTGTGGCACTGGGGTTTAAAGCCAGGACCTTTGCACTGAGCTACATCCCCAGCCCTTTTTTATTTTTTATTTCTGAGTCAGAGTCTCACTAAGGGTCAGACCTGTTTATACTATTGGGAAATGTGAGAAAATGAAGGTCTTACTTATGTTTAAATAATTTGAAATTGAGCTATGTTCCACAATTTGCGAGTTACATTTCTTTCTTAATTTTGTTTTAATCTTTGGAATGACAGAAATTAATAAAATGAGAGGAAATTAATTTTAATTGGGGTTCAGATGTTATGTAAAATGATATTTCATGATTAAATTTTCAATAAAATTAAAACTACATTCTTTTCCTTTTCCTTAGACTTGTGTGCGAGACAGAGCCATTCTTTCAATCTTGGCTGTTAGGAACATCAGCAAAGAAGTAGCTAAGAAGGCTGTTGATGAAGTTTTTGAATCTTGTTTCAATGACCAGGAGCCTTTTGGAAGGATCCCACATAACCAGACTTATGCAAGATATGCTCATAGAGACTTTCAAAACCGTGATCGGTATTACTCAAATATATGAAGACAATGACATTTTATATCACAGAGCCTCAATTATCATGAAGAAACAAATATGGTTCTCAAGTGATCAGGTGTATAAAATGTAAACAATCATTTAAATACAAGATCCAGAATATGCTGATTTTGACATATAATCAGAAAAAATAGCTCTGGAAAAAAATGAAACTGCCTTAAAAAATGGTATCTTTTTAAATTTAATTTTATTTTTTTTGGTATGGGGTTTGAACTCAGGTCCTTGTGCTTGCAAGGAAGGTGGTGGTACCTCTGAGCTAAATCCCCAGCCCCCAAAATGGTATCTTTATACTATATCTATATACTTTATTTGATAAATAAGATAAATAAATTAGATTTTTGTACTTCCTACGGTGTATTTGTGTTTTTAATATTTTATTTATATTATGTGATTGTTTTTGGTAGTGAAACCTAGGAAATCTGCTCTTGAATGATGTTGATTGGTAGTCAAAGTTTGTATTTACATTAAATATAAAGAAAATTGAACAATCTAATTGTAAGATATTTGTTGGGATGTCATGAATCAACATATGGAAAGAATGAGAACTGAGAATAATTGATTTAATGGTCATTGCCATTTTCTCCCTGAATATATTTGTGGGAATGGTATGGCTTAATTTTGGGGGGACAGTCCTGATTTCTTAGTAAAGGTACATTAAATTAATAAAATAATTTAGCTTAATTTTTATATAAGATTTTTTGTATACTTGTTTCAGATCTTTTTTCAGGCCCTGCATCAGACTTGCCTGCATTTTCCATCTGATTCTTGAAAACATCCCTTGGATCATATCCAGACTGAAAGTTAATGATGCCAGTGTGTGGATGTAGCTGAGTAGAGCTTTGAAGAAGGTGAAGTTAGGAAGATTCTTTCTCTTGAAGAATTTAAAACTTGATTAAATACAAATTATAAAGGGCTGCCTCAAGCCTGGTAATTTATTAGACAATGAGAAAAAGGTTTAAAAGTTGTGGGAAGGGCTGGGGATTTAGCTCAGTGGCACTGTGGCTTCCTCGAAAATGCAAGGTCCCGAGTTCCATCCCTG